TAAATAAGCAAAAGGGTACTGAACATTGTGATAATAGTTCTTTTTTTTTTTGTGAAAATTGTTAAAAAGTTATTAAAGGTATATGAATGCAAAACTGTAACATTTGCATTAATTTACTTCAAATCATTATGAGGAAGTACAGGTGTACCAATAAGAATGTACAAAAAAAGTATGAAAGTCGTTAGAACTTGGAAAGATAGCGATGGCTGAAATAAAAAGTGTTTCACCATGTTACAGTTTTGCCCGTCACTGTATATGAATGTATGTGCATTAGGCTGGGTAAATTTTGATTTTAATGAATCGCATGGTATTTCCTGATTCTACAGATAATTCTAAGAGAGAGTGTAAAAGAAACCATGAAAAAATTACCTTTTCACGATATTAGTTTTTTAACCTTTTCTTAAAATGTCTGTATTTAAGTTTCTTACATTTCCTTTATTTATATAAACCATTTTTAAAAAGCAAATCGTTACCTAAAGGTGAAAATGTGACGCAAAGTTAATTTTTTGAAGTTTTTCAGGAGAGAGTTTCGCATTTTCTGTCATTCTGCATCAAAAACTAAATTTTCAATAAAGTGGACTTGGCACGTTTTCACCCTTAGGTAGCGAAATACATCTGTTTTGCGAATTTTTAACTTAAAAGATTAACAAACATTAAAAAGAAATGGTTTTCGATATGAAGGCGTCTAGGACTTACCGTTGATTTTTGCCAATTTTTTTGCTGAAAATGCCTCTTCTATACAAAAATTACTTTATTTCAACAAAAAAGTGATAAAAATCTACGTTAAATCTTAGCTAATTGCACTTTATTTTAATAAGATTGAATGTACCATGAAACTTTATACTCAAAATCTTTCTAAGAAATCCATCTAAAAAGGTGCTATTTTTTTGGTTCTGAGCCAACTGTGAAGTTCCAAGTCTCTAGCTCATCGGGAAGTTGGCCAAAAATTTATTGCAAGATTTGCCTCTAACATACGTACATACATGCAAACAGAGCAAGTTAAACAAAAGCTTGTAAAATAAATCTTGTTTATTCGTTATATGGAAGCAAATGCGACAAAAAAAAAATGCAAAAAAATCAACGGTAATTTTTAGCCACTTGAACTTGAACATTATCAGACTAAAAGCTCAGTTATGCAAGACTTAGACTTGACTTGAAAATTGTATATCTGGCAAATGAGTTACGCGTGTATGTAGTTACCCAAAAAACAACTTCACTTAGAAACTTGGAGAACTATAGATTTAGGATTTCTAAGTTAAATTACTAAGTGCAAAGAGAGCCGTGAGAGAATTATTCTGCCATTTCATAATAAAATCCCTACAAATATGTCACACAAATATCATTTTGTATATAAATGGGCACGTTCAGAAGGCGCAACAGCTCAGTAACTGTTGCGATTTTACCTTCTGAATGCGTTGTTGTGTACTTCTGATCAACTCAACAGTTGCGTGTTAGATGCTCGTAATATTTTTCTGATCATTTGAGACAACATGTTGCTGTGTACCTTTGAGAGTTGAATTTGACAGTTAATGCATCAAGCCGTTCAGAAGACGCATAACGTTCACTAATTTTTTTAGAAACGGTTGCGCTCAACTGATGCGTCTTCTGAACCTACCCAATAAAATAGAAACCATCACAATTTGATCCGCGTAAGTACATTTGTTTTGATGGTAATTTTGTATAAATTTTGGTGTAAAAACAAATTAAACGTTTACAATTTTAAGAGTAGGTACAAATACAAGTGCTGAGAATGAAAACAAAGAGAAAAGGTAATAGGTGACACGCTGAGTAATCGCGTCTAAGTTTCTAGGTAAGTCAAGACAAGTCTAAAGGTACTGGCCCAATGCAGGCTTGCTTTGCTTTGAGAACTGTCAAAAGTTATTTGGAATATACTAAAACGTATGAAGGCTGGCCAAATGGTAGCTTTCCTTCACTTGCTTTAAGCGCCTCAAAGTTTGAAATAAGCGAATGTTTTATTTGAACGCTTTTTGTAGGCTTTTGACAAAAAGGTATGTTCCCATTCTAAACGAATTCAAACAAACTGCTGCACACTTTTATGAACAAAAATTTGCTTACGTAATTAAAAAAAATATATAATATAAGTAATTCAAAGCTTAATAGAAAGGATTCTATGTTTCCATATTTATATTTAACATATCGCTGGCTGAGAAGCAGCTAAGACCATTATTACAGATTTTACAGGAACTTTAAATACAACATTTGACGTGTTTAAAGCAAAGCAAAACTCCATACGAATTAGAAGGATTGGATCTTTCTTAAAAGATTTCGTAGCATTTTGGCCTTATGGGATTTTCGAGGCCTTTTTTGGACTTAGAAAATTTGCCTTTCATTGAATATAAACTAGAAAAAAATAAAACAAGTACCTTAATCCTTAATTTATCTTACTTTCTATATCAAAATATCAGGTTTCACAAAATATGGACAACTTTTCACACAAAGAAGCTAGCGATATTTATGATGTCAAACTACTGGTCAGTCGTCTCTTGAAAAATTTGAGTTTTTTTTGTTTTGAATAAATGTAAATTTAGCTGTATATGTATAATTATTATTATTCCTTTGAAATGCAAATTTTAATTTGCATTAATTTAAAATAAATCTGAAAAGACTGTTTTGTGTTTCTTTTTTTTTAATTTTCTGGAATTTTTCTTAGTGTAAGGGAACAGTCCTTGATTTTTTAACTCACAGCTGGTAGCTTTGACAGCGTTCCAAGCCTCTATTTGACCAAACGAGTTTTTGAAGTAAATCAAAGTAAATTGATGTAGGTAAGGCGTGCAAAGCAAGCTTGCAGCTTTAGCAGAACGATTCTGTGCACTTAGTAAATATACATTTTTTATAATTGGTCAGTTTTTTATTATTTATCAAGAATTGCAATTCTAGCACAGAAATCAAAAGCTATTTTCTTGATAAATTATCAAGATTGAAAATGCTATTATCAAGCGTTTACAAATTGAAATTTCATATGGAAGTTATAAGTTTTGTGTATTAAAAAATTTGTTTCTATCATTTAAATCAGAGGTTCCCAAACGTTTTTAACTCGTAGACCCCTTTCAAAAATTTACTGGTTTCGGTGGACCCCCTGCTGATACAATAAATAAATAAAATAAATTTGCATCGAGGGTGAGTTCAAAAACTAAACTCAGAGTGGCCAAAATAAAAGTAAAATATTTTCTTGTGTTCTATTTATAAAAATAATGTGATTATACACTTGTAGGTTTTAAAAAATAGAGCTCGTAAATTCATCAAAATACTCTCTCGCTCGGAAGAGTTACTTTTGATTTATATGATGGATTTCATCGAATTACAACTTAAAAAAATCGATGACAAATAACCAAGCAATCAAGAAGCGCAAAAAGTGTTACACCGTCTCATCTTATTCAAGGCAAGATGGGCAAATGGACAGTCAGGTGTTTGTGCCACGTGAAGTGACCAGTCAGCAGTCCAACAAGTTGTCTGCAGTGTCGTCTGCTCAGTCAGAGCAAAAAATTAGATAGACCTTGTGAGATTGAAGGCAACATGAGTTTTGCCCACCTGCGTCCCCTCGATGCCTCACAGTCATTTCTGAGCGAAGTATTCACCCAGTTTCTGATGGTGGCTTCGATTGCCGAAGGTGGGGGTGCTAAAACTGGTTGCGGACCGAGGAATACCTGGTCTGAGCCAACTCTGGCCAAATGATCAGATGTCTCATAACCAGGTACTCCAGAGTGACCTGGCACACAGAGTAAAACAAAGTGGTTATGCTCACCATCATATTTTAGTCGAGACTTGCATTGCCGAACTAGTTCGAAGTACTGGGCTGGTCAATGCCTTAAGTGCAGCTTGGTTGTCACTGTAGTCACGTAAACTCCTTCCCCTACACCTATGTTCCACCACGTAGTCCATGGGTTTGAGTATTGCAATTACCTCTCCCTGGAAGACCGAAGCATATTCCCATACAGAAAAGTGAAGCTTATCTCCATTAACCTCGAAAAAGACCCCAGATCATGACCCAGTTAGCTTTGGAGCCATCATTGAAGGTTCGACAATGTGTGAGTTCGGTCTCAGCGATGGAATCAAACCAGCATTCAGTCTCAGGGAACTCAACATTATAGAATCTCTGCAACAAAGGTAATGGTGGCGTACTATCCTGTAGCATTGAAAAGACACAAGTGCTTAAATCTCTGCTGCCAGCAATTTTCGCCACGCCCCACTCATTGTCATACCAGCATCCGGTTCTTTTTAGTCTGCAGGTGGCCTTTAAGGCTTCCCCACGTATGAAAACACATAGTGACAGTAAGTGCAGCAGTGCGTCAAGAGCACTATACACCACTCAAAAAAATTAAAGTTAAATAAAGAGGCTATAAAGCAACCGCTTTGGTTCTTTACATCGAAACCAGATAAATTTTCGTGAACCCCCATTTACAACTCATGGACCCCATATTTCTTTCACGTCACCTTGGGGGTCCACCTGGACCACTTTGGGAATCAGTCATTTAAATACTGCGCCGGCATTTGAACTAGAGCGGGGATACTATCGATAGTACCACCACTATATAGTTTTCGACACGATAGATGAAAACATCGATAGTATCGATAGTGATAGTACTATCGTGAAAGGTATTGAATTGAAACGCTCAATTGCTTGAAAAGTAAATTATAAATTACTTTGTAAATTAAATAACAAAATAAACTTATTAATTTATGCGTCTGAATTGTATTGTACTTATATACACTGAGAAAAGAGTTTAGTTACGTCAACTAAATATGTTTTTCTCAACACATGATTTAGTTATAGTCACATTATTTGGTTATAGTTACCAAATCATGTGTTAGTAGAAATATATTTGGCTGACTTTTTTCTGAGTGTACATACATTTGCATCCACTTTATTAGCGACAGGCGAAATCAGTATTTATTTTTTATATGGAAAATTAAATTCGAAATTTGTTTGTCCCTTTTGCAAGTGCAAAGACATATGTATGAATATATTTGAAAGAACTCACCACATTTTTACTCCGCTGCGAACAAAACGGGTTTGATATTCGAAAATAATGTGTACCTCCGATCACCAAGCGATCTCCATGCAACATTTTACGACGCTCAGTCACAAGATCACCATTTAGATAAGTTTCGAAATCTTTATTTTGAGGTATTATAAACAGCTCGCTGTCGTTATTTTCAATTATACTGAAACACAATGTTGATAATTAATTATTCTATGACATGAAATTGATAAATACCGAAACCTACCAATGGTGATAGGCAACCAATGGGCCGTCGAGTAAAATATCCGGCTGACTGCAATAGGTGGATGTGCGTGTGCGACCTATTTTCACCTGTCCAGGTGGTAAAATATAAAATAGTGTATTGCTAAATATGGCATCTGCAGTCAAGTTTACAAGACACGCATGCTTTTGATCCGTTGATAATTCCAATGCCAGCCCTTTACGCCGAAGAAGCCGCAATTCAGATTTTCGCTGGTCTTCAGCTTCTTTCAAGCGTTGCATCCATGACTTTTGAGCTCTATCCAACTCTCTTTCGCGTTCGGCTAATTGCTGCCGCAAAGCTTCAACTTCACTCTCATCAACTGATGTTTCAATGATAATTTTTCTTGGCGTCGGATTACTATTGGCCGACAGACGACGCTGGCGTTCATATTCATTCCGTAGTGATTTCAGACGGTCCACTTCCGCGCGTAATTCCCTAATTATTTTATCGTGAGGTGACTCGTTCACTTTCACCCGATTGACTATAGTGCGCGCTTGACAAGCATACCGCAATGTGGCCAGAGTTTCATCAATATTAACATTAGCTGGGGAAATGGTAGCAAGCATAACCGTCTTAGAATTGCCGCCAAGATTTTCCTAAAAAAAGCGTGAATTTGGTTAATATTTATTATCAAAATGTAAAGACAATCATTGTTATCAGAAACTAAAATTTATCGAAATTTCACGGTTATGTGATTTTTTTTATACATACATATGTACATACCTATTCGATATTTTGACATATGTACATTAGACTGCCTCACCAAAAAAGTTGCGATCTTTCCGCCGGAATTACAAAATTGATTATATTTGAAGACGTCCACCAGAATATTTCGGAAAAATATTAAGATTTACGTGAGCTGGACCGATTTGAAAATACCTAGAAATAGGGAGTATTTTATGAATAAAAATAGTTTATTCAAAAACTTTTTGAAAACAATTCCCTCAGATGACAAAACAGATTAAGCTTAAAAAATCTGCATAAAAATATTTACAAATCGTTTCAACGGAATCGTAATAATGAGATATTTGATTCTGTTTTTTAGCCTTTTCAAAGATTGATTTACGAAAAACTTGAATAACTGGGCCAAAACTATTCTTTTTATTTCTGTGCAATAAACAAAAAACTCATTCAAGTCCCAATTTTTATTTTCAAATACCAACACATCTTAATTCAACTTGGAATGACGCTGGTTCATCCTAGTTTTCATATTTTGAATGAGTTTATTAGCAAAGAAATAAAAAGGTTGAGAAAATACCTTTCCAATAATTCCTCACAAGTCTAAATCGGAATAGTTTAGGTTCAGTTATTCAAGTGTTTCTTATACCAATCTTTGAAAAAAGTAAAGAAACAGCATCAAAAATCTCATTATTATGATGCCGTTGAAATTAAAAAAAAAAAAATTTTAATAATCTTATGCTAATTTTTAAGCTTAAACCGTTTTGTCATTTGAGGGGATTTTTTCAAAAAAATCTTTAAAAAACTATTTTGATTCATAAGAAACTCCATTTTTGGAGGTACTTTCAAATCGGTCCAGCTCACGTAAATCTTAATATTTTTTCGAAATATTTTAGTGGAAGTCTTAAATATAATAGATTTTATAATTCCAATGGAAACACGGCACAGCAATGGGGAGTGATGCAGTCTAATGTACATACATTATTTTAGTTTAGATTTTGTCCGTCATAGTAAACTAGACTATTCTAAAACCCCGAAATGGTTTGAGTCTTAAAATAAATATAGTTTAAAAAAACTAAAAAACACGCTTTTAAAGCATATCAAACTAAAAAGTAAAAAATAATTCTTAATATAAGTTGCAAATAATAATGAACAAAAAATACTAGTATTATTGTGAAAAAGTGTGGGTTGCTCGATAGACGAAAAATATGGCAAAGAGCGCCCCACGCTTTTTCACAATAATACTAGTATTTTTTGTTCATTATTACTTTCAACTTACATTAAGAATTTTTTTTTACTTTTTAGTTTGATATGCTTTTAAAGCGTGTTTTTTAGTTTTTTAAACTATATTTATTTTTAATTTTTTAGTTCGATTTATTGTTAAAAATAAAATTTTTTCTAAATGCTCGAGTGCTCGAGTGCTCGAGCCGGAAAGTAAGTAGACGGTACGCATGCGCAGACAGCGTAGTTGTCTCACTTGCTCTCACACAGAGGCTGTGTGAGGAAATTATTTAATCCTGGCGATCCTAATCAGGATAATGAGATAAATTTATGAAATTATTATATTGTCGCTGATTCTTGATAAGTGTACAAAGTTTGAATTAAATCTGTCCGTTTAAAGTGGGTCAAAATCGAGTCCAAAGCAGTCGATTACAAACATACATACATACAAACATACAGGTGAAGCTAATTAAAGGGTGTTAAAAACGGTTTTATGTTTCTCTAAATGAATTTATTCATAAAAATTTTAAAAATTAATCAGTGTCTCGTGTGTATATGTGTTGTTTTGATCGATGACCTTCTGCAAACTTTTACGGCAAGACCTTGTGGAATTTCTGGACACATTAGAAGAAGGCGGTGAGGTGCTCTACCTCCCTCCCCCGGTAGAGCTACCGCGCCATCTAGCGGGTGTGAGAAGTGTTTAGTATAAACAAATCAAATAAACCAAAAAAATTATTTTATTTTATTAAATATATCTATGTACTTATATTTATTCAATACCCTCTATCTGCAATTTTCACAAAAACTACTTTGTGATGTTAGAACCCATCTGGGACTTACTTGACATCACTGATGTTAATTCTGAATTTGCAATTTAATTGTAAATTCTTCTGTCAAGCGTTATACAAGGTCAGCATTAATATCGCCGATGACAATTAAGTCTTAGGTGGATTTTCATATCAGAAATTAATTTAATGGAATGTGGAGGATTGAAGGCAAGTCGTTGAGCCATTAAATATTTTTTTTCGGGTTTGGAAGTGCTGATAAGAGAAAGCACAGTGTAATGAAGGATTTTAAATATTATAAATGATATCGTTGTTTGTCTGTTTGTATGTTTGTAGTGTGATAAAAATAGAAATTTGAGGAAATAAAATGTGTGGAAAAATATAATTCGTTTTTATTTAAAGAAATAGGGTTACAATTTAGCATTTATTATTGTATGAAAGTGCAATTTTTTACCAAATATAATTGTTTTTTACGTTTATTTAAATTAATAAAATTTTATAAAGAGATTTACATTATTATCATTTATTTCTATAATTGCATATTTTTCTTGTTTATATATACATAGTCGTAAAGGTTGCTGAACTACAATACGCGTCATACTATTTTTAAAATATAACTAAATGGTTTATAAAAGCCCATTTCGAAGAACGATCCAACTGGCTGGTTCTCCGTCAGATGGTGTTCCATGTATTCATTTATTTCGCTGACAACGCAATCCTCCAACTTCTCCAAAAATAGCGGATCCTCAAACCACTTTTCTTTAAAAATGTACCGTTCCATATCCATAGATGAATCCATGTGCATGTTGTCCTCAGTCTTGAAGTAAAGGTTCTTCGTTTCCTTATTAAAATATATTTTGTCTATGTTTAGAACCTCATAACATAATAGATAGTCAGTCATTGGTTTAAATATTTTTTCCGAATAATTTTTACTTGATGACTTTTCTTTTTATATGTTTCTGTTTTGATAGAAAAGTGGATTGTAGGCAGTTGTGTACACATCAAATAGTTTTTTTGCGGTTGTGTATCGTTGATAAAAGAATGCGCATACACATGCATTTATTAGCGTGGGATATACGCAATCATATTTATGAATTCCTGTGGTTGTTAATTTAAAAACAGTAGTTTTATAATATCGCAACTCGTTGATTATGTCCATGAAAAGTTTAACATGCTCTTTTTTAATATAACAACTATATGTATTTAAAATTTCTCCAATTCCGCTGCTAACATTTTTTTAAACAAATCTCAAATACGTTTAAATTTATAGTGATGGAAAATGTATACATATGTGTTTTATCGTTTTAATTAGAAATTTTTTTATCGAATGTATTAATCCCATATATAAAATTTTTTGAATCAATATTTTCCTTATTTTCTCCATTATAATAGCGATTATATAAATTTATTAATTTCACATTTTTATGTTGTCTTTCTGTGATATAGCAATTACATGTATCAGGTCCTGATTTAGCATTATTATTACTCCAAGGACAGATCGTATAATGTTTTCCATATATAGTTTTTATCCAAGACCCATTTTCCGTCTGTTTAGTCAATATACATCTATTTTGTATAATGCTTCTATGGTGGTCTAATATACGTTCAAAATTCCTCTCTAGAAATTCTTCACTTTCATAACTTTTCATATTGTCCTATTTAAATATTCGCTAAAAAAATAAGAACTACTTGAATCAGCTTTTAATTTTAACTAAATTCTATTATTTCATCATATCGCTATATACATATGTATAAGATATCGCTATATCTATATACATATTAAACTCCTGCGCAATTCCATTTAAACGGCCCAACAAGACATCCGATCGCCGCGCAAATACTTTCCCTCCTTTACTCTCATCGTTCAGGTCAAGTGTGAGTAAGCATAAACCAGTTTCTGCAAGCGTACGTAAACTACCGATCAATAGCAAGACGCGTAGAGTATTTACTTTGCCTTCCGCAACTACTGCGAGTAAAAGATATTTGACAGTAGAGTACTGTACTGGTAGTACTTGAGTATTTTCGAAGAAAACATACATTTGTGGTATCTGAATAAAACTATGGACAGGAATGTAGTGGAGCGATGAAGAGAGCGACGAGCAAAACGTACTTTCAACTAAAATGCTGATATACATACCTAAGTACATATGTATGTATGTGCATAGATACATACATATATAAGTGTCCGCATATATTTTTTTCTCGTCACTTGCTCTGTCGCTTCACTGCAGCAAAACCAAGTTGTGGGGAAAACCCTGACGATATGCGTACCATTGAAGCCATGGGTTTGAAGATAGCTGATGTGAAAATTTCAATTTCATATTAAATATATTTATGTATGCATGTACATAACATCGTCTCAGAAAACGGATGTCGAATGTTACAAAACACGGTTTTGAGAAAATTGACGTTGAAGTTTAAGGTCGAATTAATCCGAACTGTACGGTAGATTTTTGTAATTTTTGAAGGAGACGTAGTTGGTGTTATTAGTTTTGATTTTCCATATTTTTACATTTAATATCTCTTAACGTTAATGAGAAAATTGACTTTTCATTCCGTATACATTTGTCGTAAGTAGCGTTTACTCACCACTTTGTTTTGTCCACAGAACATACGACAATAGTAAAGTATCTATTTCAACGACGATGGTATAATTTGATGAAAAAACCAGACATATTTATTAAATAATGATTACTTATTAGAAAAAAAAATAACAAAAACATAATCATGTATTTAATAAAAAAAATCTGTACATCTCTTATGCTGTAAATATGTTACGAACATACGTTTTCTTTATATAAAAACAAAAAACAATACTTAAATTCAGTCTTTTGTACATTTTTATTTCTTTCATTTCATTGGAGACTCAGTGCAAGCTAAAATTTAAAAATTTAAAATTTTAAGATTAGTTA